CGGCTATTCCAATATAATATCAGAGCACAAAACCATTTCTTATATATTTAAAAGTAATTTCACCTGATATTCTGAAAGGAAAATATTAGAATTTCGTTTTATCTGATACAAAAATTTGCTCCATCGTAGTATTTTTGGATTATATGACCTTGTTTACACCTCTATCTTTCCTAGTGAAGCCTTTGTTTACACTGTCTGACACCTTGAGTACGATAATGAGGGAATTAGTTACGGCTGAACGCACGCAGTTACCTTACCTGTGTTAATAATTGGCACACTAGATTGATATGTTTTGATACAGTTATAATGATCAGCTTGGGTTTAAATTACTTTTCAGTGATGTACTTGATAATTATGATAATTGTTTGCAATTTTTTCCAAAGTTAGATTTTAATTATTGAACGTATAAGCTTGTGTATGACAATTTGCTGGGACATTGAAATGCATCATAGTTACAGGACTATTGACTTGAGAATTGTCACAAACAGTATGAAATACACAACCATATTAAAGAAACAAATAAAACAAAACAATTTAATATTTTTGTTTAATATTACTGGACCATTTATCCGGGGAAAAATAAATTACGGAATAAAGTCAGGCATTTAGTCTACTTCCGTTTCCAAAATGGCGGCCATCGAAGAAGGAATGTAAACATGTGCTTATTAAAGATGGCAATAACTATTAAAAAACAATTTTTATAAGTCATTTTATTAGAAAAATGTTATCACATTTAATTAATAAGTAAGTTAAGCATTTAATTTTTAGAGAATCGCCAGGTAAAGTAATCAAACGAAACGAAAGTGCAAGTTTGAAATTTTCTATGATGTATTGTCAATACATTTAGCTCTATACATCTTTGTTTGGACTTGAAATGGAGCAATCGGCTATTCGAATATTCGGCTAATCGGATAGAGCTAGCCTGACAAGTTTACTATCCGTTTAAACGGAACCCACTGTATTGCATGTAACAATCATGAAAATGAAAACATGATTTCAATATTTTCAACAATCTGATCTAAGAAGTTATCATTATCATCATAATCATAATTATTTTTACTTTATTTTTCTTATTGAATAAATTGAGTTCAAAATGATAAAAATTTGAAAAATGGCAAGGTCTTTGTTTCATGTTGGAATTGGGGGAGGAGAAACAAAAAGGGTTGCTAATTATTTTGCTTTTGACCCAGTCTATTCATGTATTTGATGAAGAAAACTCCAAGGCAACAAAAAATTTCTGCTTTGGACCTGCTTTTCCATTTACTCTGAATCCAGTGTTTGAGATATAGCAACAGTGTAATGAAATGTTAATCTCAAACTTTTCTGAGTGAAAGGGGGTCACAACTTGTTGAGTGACTAAAGGTATGAAAACTCTAGAAATATGTTGTGTACAAAACTGGAGTAGCTTTGACACAATATATGTGCTTGTGGTTTTAAAAAATATTGGTTATATAGGCTTGGACAATTAGTGGGAAAGCTGCTACTTGAGACATGCAATAATCTGTATCATTAACTTCATGGAAAACTGAACATTGTCAATAAAATCAAAATTTAACATTTTTTAATGGGAAACACTTTACTTATTTGTTTGGCCTAATTATTAACTATTTAAATGTTATGTTTCTGCACTGTCAATATTTCTAAACATATTAAAAAAATACAACACAATTTTTGGCAAAAACATAAAAAAACAAGATAATTTTTCTTTTTAAATTAAATATCTGATAAATTCCTTAGTTTAAATAACACACTCATATTGATGAAAAAAATTTAAAAGCCTCTTCATCTTTATCCTATATGTAGTTAGTTCCTTCCTCATTTTCCTCTTCCCTTTTTCAGATGTGACTGTCATTCTGTAAACCCCCTGTGATCTTTCTAGATAATTGGTATTAGTAGAAAGTGCTGTACTAATGTAATCCTCTCTAATTTGCATTTTTTGCAGATAGTATTCAGGCTGTATTGATTTTTTTTTACTAGAAGAAACACATCTGGTTCTATATGTATCTTCCACTACTTAAACTTTAAAGGACAGTAGTCAGTTTTTTTTTTCCTGTTGTAAAAATTTCCTCATGCATATAGAAATATAAACCACGTATATATAAGTTTTAACTTATAAAAGTGGAATCTTTTCTTTTCCTATTCTATTTTTTTACTCTAAACAACTTTATAAACATTTCTTAATATCAATTAGATAGGGAAATTGTTTAGCTATATTTTTAGTAGCTGTTCAAGATGTAGGAAAAAGATATTTTATTGGATTTTGTACCATTTTAAAAAAGACTAAACTAAATTAAGTGCATTATGGTCATTTTTCTTAAGTAGTTAATTATTGTTTTCTTGAGTTGCACTTAAGTTTGTCATGGTAATTTTAGCTTCCGATGCAATTAACACTAAACACAGAATTTTTATAGTGCATGTTGTGTTTCATTAAGGACATTCACAACATGTGAGTGGGTACCTAATCCTACTAATACAAAGTTGGCTGTCTATTCTTGGATTGTCTCGAAAATAACAAAGATATCCTCCAAACTATAACAAATTAATTTTTTTTCTCTCCTTTTCCTAGTTTTTAAAAAGTGCTCCAAACACACCAAAAGCAAGAAAAAAATAATTCTTTGAAATTCTGCAACATGTATTTAAATTTCTTATGTTTTCAACTAACAAGGTGATCATGATTAAAGATAATTATACACGTATGATGTTTTTTCCTAACAGAGGTGTTTGTAAAGCTTGAATATGTTTCTGAAAATTTGAATAGAAATACATGTAAAAAAAAATACTTTAAATATTTAACTTTGGACTTAAATGTGGAATCAAATTTTTTATGAAAAAATCGTAAAATCAAATTCATCAAATGATCGAAGTACATATAAACATGATAAAACCTTTCACCAGTGTGTACAAAAATAGCAGTAAGGAAACAGACAGCACACAGTTCTACCCTACAGAGTATTCCATATTTTAGATAGAGCCTGGGTTATACCATCGTCTCAAACTCCGGTGCGGAGTCCGCAGAGCTCTGGCTTGGATTTCTTGAAAAAATCTTAAGCTAAATCTCAGACTTAAGTAAAAACATAAGATTTTTTCGAGAAATCCAAGCCTGGAGAGGATCGTACATTTTGGCCGTGGTTTGTGACAATGGGGTTATACCACTTTCAAGGACATAGAACACCACACAATGCTACTCTACAGACCAATCCAAGTTTTAAATAGAGGCTTGGTTATACCACACTGATACACTTACTTCTAAAGGATCTCTGGGTGGAAGCTAAAGGGGGCCACAAAGGGGAGGAATGAAAATGTCATTAAAATTGGCAAAGTGTTGAAAGTTCAAGCTGTCACTCAATACATGTTTTTACAGTCTTAATTTTTTTTAATATTAAATTAATGATCTTACAATTTTACTACTCAAGTGCAAGTCAGGTGAATCAAAATGTACAATCAAAACATTTAATTTAAACAGAAAAAAAAACAAGCTCTTAAGTTTGTGCAAAAAAAAAAATTCTGAATCAATCAAAAATCCCAGAGGTAGAATATCCATTGTAGAAAAAACTCAAAATGCTTGTAATAACTTTAGGTTGCTATGATTTAATTATGATTATATATATACAATGTACATTAATTCATATACATGAAATTATAAATATGATATTAAAACAATATGAAGTAATATGCTGATATATGCGAGTTAGAATTTTATGTGCAAATAAAACTTCAATAAGATATTGAGGTACCTTTTCTGGTTCTGGAGGAGGTATTGGGGGTGGTGCTCGCCTCCCTGGGGGGAGAGGTGGGGCAGGTCCATTATCAACTGAGGGTGGAGGCTGGAAATATAAATTTAATATGAACAATACAGACCTTGTCAAATTCTGAGAATCTTATATATTTTTTTTACCAAAGTTAGTCATATTTATAAAATGATACGTATAGATCACAGGCCTTTGGGTCATTTTTTTTACACCTCAATTTTTTTTTCTAAGCAATTAATCTAAAGGCCTGTGGTAAAGATAAACTGTAAATTGCTATATAGATGAATTGTAAAAGTGGATTTTTTAGTGAGACATAAATTCAGCAATTTTTCCTTAAGATTCGATAATTATTTTATATTCTAAGAAATATATTACAGTTACCTTTAATACCAAATAAATTGTTAGCAATGCAATTGTATTCAATTAAAGGGATTTTAGCACCCTTGCTAAAATTGCCAAAATTTTAGATCCTCACTAAAATTTCCACTTATAATGCAGTACTGATTACTTTTTTTTAATCAATGTATACTTAATTCAAAATTTAATTGTTAGCCTTATCAAGCTAATATTAAGATGATCAAACCGGGACTCGTCTTCCTGACTTTGGGGCGTCGGAGTCCGGTAGAGGGAGCTGTTTTCTTGGCGCACGATTCATCTTGTTCAGCTTGACGGATTCTTCTCTACAACAGAAAATTACATCATCATTATATATTATCCTTCATGACTTGAAATTTATCCTGGGTAGAAGCAGAGAAAACTAAAGGTACAGTGAACAATGAGCTCATTAAATGATACCCTATTCCTCCCATATGGCTAAGTCAATGTTTCACTCTGGGAGACACAAAATAATTGTGTCAAATTAAAAGTAAAATAAACAGAAGATGCACAATGGCATTGTGTATTGTAATACAAAATCTGTGAAATTATTAGTAAACTCTTATCATTAGTATAGGAGGCATTGCAGAAAAGAGATAGGTACCCTTCAAATATATATAAAGAATAACAGTGTCCATGTTTTGCTATGGGATATAATGCTGGGACACCTAAAATAATTGTGTCGAATCAAAAGGCAAAAAAGAGGTGTACAATGGCACTATTAAACAATTATTCTGTGAAAGTCTATTATTAAATTTCACTCAGTGGTAGAGGAGGTGTTGCGGATAAAAGATGGGTATACCCCAAGCTTACTACGGATGGATGGATGGATGTACTGTGAGCTAAACGGACATACAGACTGACTAATCACTGCATACCCTCCCATTCTTCAAGCAGGGGTATAATAAAAATGAAGAACAAGAAATCTGTGAGCCAATGCTCACTAGTAATACCCCCGCTCTGATGTAAATAAGCACTATCATGTTAATACACACGTTCAATTATAGACAGATGCACAAAAATTATGAAGTTGACATCAGCTTCATATCAAAATTAATCCGAACATATGGCATGCCTCAACAAAGAGTGTAATAGAATTTCAAGCATCTGCTATGAATAGCTAATGAGAAAACTATGACGAAGATTTGTTATGTATGAAATTGACAGATGCACAGCACAGTCAAGGTTACAGTAACATGAGTAAGGAGGCGGGGCCTAATTTGTATGGGAAATGTTAACTATGACGTCACACATAATATAAGGTCTTCAAAATACCACAAAATGAAATTATTTGCTATTTCAGACAGCTGGATAGCTGTATACTACATACAAACTTACTATTACATGCAGTTTTGTCGTTTGTTAAATCCACACAACAGTATATGAACGATGCATCGATCGCAATGCACTTGTCAATGTGACGTCATCTCACAAAAATGACGCAGTTTGTACACAGTGAGAGGCTGATCAAGTCACATTTTGTACAATGATAAATGTCTTTTGTTCTCAAATAAAACATTATTTGCAGTAAAATAAAAAGCTGTTAACTTGGATGCGATGTCTATTTCAGTATTTTATTTATAAACTGTATGTGCATTCTCCAGACATTAAGCGATACTGTCGTGTGTTTTGTATGCAGATTCATTGAAAAAGTAATGGAAGGGCCCTAATAAATTGATTTATTGCAAGGGCATACCCTCAATGTATATTGTCAAAATTTTACACATATTAAACTCAAGAAGCATTAAGATATTTTAAAAGTGCTGCGAACCTCTTGAAATCTTGCAAATAAATTAATTATAGCTGTATTTAATGTAGTTGACCAGCAAAATATTCAACCTGCCGTCCAACAAATTAAATTTTACCAATTAAAAAAGGAAATCTATATAGGTTCGCAGCACTTATTTTTCACAAACTACATATAGTGTTGAAAAGGATAAAATAAGCTAAGATTTTTAACTTGGTTATGCCCTTGCAATATTGAAATTTATAGATGACCTCTAAACTGTAAGTATAATTGCCAAAGTCATGTGACGTCATCATCACATGACAAGTCTAAATAAAAAATCAAAATGTCCCCAACATGTAGATTTAAACCACATTAAATTTTTTTGATATCAATGAATTCCTAAAAAGAATCGCCCATCCTAATAAAGTATGTATTTTTTATCTTAAAAAATCGCCGATATTTCCATTTGTAACCTTAACTGTGCTGCGTGCACAGACAAATAGGAAGTTGACATCGGATGTGAACAAAAATGTTTCCCAATGTATGGCATACCTCAGAGAAGATTGTGTTAAAATATCAAGCATATTTGATGAGTTGCTGAGAAAACTGCGACAAAAATTTGTTATGTATGAAAAAGACAGATGCACAGACAAACAGGAAGTTGATATCGGATTTAAACAATAATGAATCCCATCATATGGCATGCCTCAGAGAAGATTGTGTTAAAATTTCAAGAATCTACGATGAGTAGTTGCTGAGAAAACTGCGACGAAGATTTGTTATGTATGAAACTGACAGACGCACAGACAAACAGGAAGTTGACATCAAATTTGAGCAAAAATGTATCCCACCATATGGCATGCCTCAGAAAAGATTGTGTTAAAATTTCAAGCATTTACCGTACAATGAGTAGTTGCTGAGAAAACTGCGATGAAAATTTGTTATGTATGAAATGGACAGTCGCACAGACAAACAGGAAGTTGATATCGGATTTGAGCAAAAATGTATCCCACCATATGGCATGCCTCAGAGAAGATTGTGTTAAAATTTCAAGCATCTACGATGAGTAGTTGCTGAGAAAACTGCAACGACAGACGCAACTACAGACGCACAGATGAACAGGAAGTTGACATCAGATTTTAGCAAAAATGTAAACCACCATATGGCATGCCTCAGAGAAGATTGTCTTCAAATTTCAAGCATCTAGGATGAGTACCGTATATACTCGCCTATAAGTTGGAATATTGGGAGTTAATCTCTGGTCCAAAACTCTATGTCCGACTTATAGGCGAGCTATAAAATGAATGGTATTGTATGAGGTCAGCCTCTCTGATATATAAGCTTATTAAATACAACCGACTTATAGGCAGACTGACTTGTATAGGTGAGTATATACGGTAGTTGCTGAGAAAACTGTGACGAAAATTTGTTACGGATGGACAAACAAACACACGGACACACAGACAGACACACAAGGGTAAAACAGTATACCCACCTCTCCTTCGGAGCGGGGGTATAATAAAAGAGGATGAAAATACCCAGTGTTTGCCCTTAGTGTGTTTTTGCATGGGTGTAAAATATTAAAGGACTTTGTAAGATATGGTAGAAAAATACCCTTGCTGCTAAGTTTTAAGAAAATTAGATAGATGATCACATGTACATGATTACTTACAATTTAAGAAAAATACATGAAAATCCTCCAAACAAAATCCTGCAACATGCTAAATTTTGAAATATCTATAGATCAAGTCATTAAATTTCAAAGGATTAAGTATCAACCCATAGGCAACAAAAGTAATTTTCAATACGTACTGTCAACTAGCTGTCTGTCATCACTTAATTTACATCAGACACGGCGTATGATGTCTTAAACTTAATCATATCATCCTCTGATCTCAGTTTATTCAGCAGGATATTAACCATTATATAAATAACACATTACTCCTGAATCATAGTCAGTATGTCCAGTGTGTATAAACACAAGTACGCAAGTCTCATGTACATATCACTGGTCACGCAGTGGGGAATGAGGCGGCAATTCATTTATCTTTGTGTATACAGCATCAATTGGCTCTTTTTCTTTTTAATTTAACACACTCCTCGATTTATCATTGAGAAGAACATTCACCGACATCGATATATAGTCTATTTGACTATACTGAAGCAGATGTCTACGAAGAGACTGTAGCTCTAAAGGATTTTATTTAATCATTGTTAATAAAGGGTGAGATAGTTGGTGAAGTTTATCTGTGCACCAAATTTCATTTAATTAGATAAGATCAATATGAGGAGTTGGAATTTTTAAAGCAATATGAGCTGCATTATTGAAAATTTTATTTTGCAGTTAAAATGTGTTATCATGTTTAATGTGTATGTAACTTAAATTTTTATGAACAATTAGACTTAAATAAAGCAGAAGAAAGACCTCTATATACAATCCAATATACAGTTTTATATAAAAAATCATTATTATACAGGACGACAATAATGTAATTTTGGTTTAATCGAAGCTTATAAATAGTTCTTCCATCGCAAGTATAAACAACTGAAGATAATAAACGTTATTTTTTCTGTTGTTGAAATAGTTATTTTCAATTTTGCAACAAAAACTTTCGACATCAAAGTTGCTGCTCATATTGCTTTAAAGAATTTTACAAAAAAATCTATTTTGAGTATTTCAGCAAAAACATTTGTCAAAATCAAAATCTGATGCAAAAACTATGAGGTATATCTTTATGTTAATTGCTTGATCTGAGTGTGTTGTCATACTCTTTACAAAGTTTTTTTTTTTCTTCAAAAATTATTAAAAGGATTTCAGTGTTTTTCTTGCACTTTTAACTGGTTTAGTTTATACATCAAATAACTCTGCAAATTCAAGGGGTGGGGGGAGTGTTATTTTGAAAAAATTGTTTACAAGCAGACAAAATAAGGTACAACATGTACAAAAAAAACAGATTATTAAGGTCTTCCCTTTCCAATGGTAGACCTTCTACTGATTCTGTTGTTTCTTTTCCACTATTTTTATTATATTTTTGTCTTACCGATTTTGTGCAGATGATTTCTTGAGAATGCCTCACAGATTTTCATGAAACTTTCAGCAATGATGGGAAATTATTTGAACTTTTTTTATCATTTTTTTATTTTGCCGTCGTCACTTCAGGTCGCGAGATACGCCCAATTTTCTGTTGGAGATTGAGTTCTGAAACTTTCAGGGATGATAGATTGTGACTTGTAGAATTAAGAAGGATATAAAGTTTTTGTTGCCGTCACGTCCGTTGTCCACCCGAAGTAGTTTTAAAATATGCAAAATTTTATTATTTTCTTTTTTACATATTTCTTGTGGAGGCAAATAGAGTGTCTCAAGTAATATTATGTCCACCGGAAGTTATTTTTCCAAACTGGAAGTTGTCCAAAAAATGAGCATTTTTCCTCGAAATAATCAGGGATTATTCCTTCACACTCAGAGAGGAGTTATAGGTCATTTTGAGTACTTCCAGCCATACCAGAAGTGAATATAAAGACCAGAAGTTGTTTGAAATTTATAGATTTCACTCTTAAATGTGTTCTAGTGTACGTATTTTGAAGAATTTATATGAACATTTTTTTCATTTAAATTTTTTAATGATCTTATCAGAAATCGAACGGAAGACCTGCTCATTGCTCGAAACGAGATCTCATCTAGTTATATTTCTGATTACCAAGCTAAAAAGTACTTGTGAGTTATAAAAGTATGAATGCATATAACATACTTTGGCAATAGCCAGTGAAAGTAAGTCATTAAAAACAAGGAATTATTTTATCTGGGAATAATTTTTTTCTCAGAATTCACTTTTTTCTTGTTGGAGAATTATATTGGACCTATTTATATTTCCTTAGTTACTTGGAAAAAAATATTATTGTAGTGATAATGAGACTAAGTAATGATAGTGCAGTTTGTTATGTTCAATGTCTCTTTCTTATATTCTGTATTTATATCTATTTTATAGGGCGCTGGATTTCTTTTTTTTTTCTGGTATATTTTGTATCTGCATTTCTGTGTTGTTGTTTTTTTTTCAGTGATATATAGTTTTATTTCATTAATCTTTATTTTTTTTATTAATGCAACTTCTTATTTATACTTCTCTGGTTGAGAATGGGGGTGAGGTTAGCTTTTCTTAGGTTAAAGTTTTGATGAAAAAACATTTCTACATACATGTATATCAAATAATTATTTTAATGTTTCCGATAGGAATTACGAATTGCATTCACCGCAAAGCTAAGAGGGGTTAGCTTTTCACTGAAAACCCCACCCCCCTTCTCAACAGGATGTATAAATAGTAGTTGGCTGCATAAATAAATAAAGCTTCATAAATTAAAACTATCACTGAAAAAACAAAAACACACAAATACAGATACAAATATACCAAAAAAAAAAGAAAAAAAGAAAGCCTATAAAATAGATATAAATACAGAATATAAGAAAAAAGAGACATTTATAAACATAACAAACTGCACTATCATTACTATAGTCTCATTATCACTACTGTACAATAATAGTTTTTTTTTAGTAACTAAGGAAATATAGGGTACACTATAATTCTCCAACAAGAAAAAGGCGAATTCTCAGATAAATAATTTTCAGATAAAATAATTCCTTGTTTAAAGCTTATATAAATGTTGTAAATATCAAGTATTATCATTATTTTTCTTTCAAAATTTCCTCAACCATACAGTTTATCAATGACAATTATCAGCCTTAATATACATTGGTGTGATCACTGTGATATCTCATTGACAAATAGTTTTGTTCATTGATACATGAAGTGCATTGAGGCTAGTACACAAATGACAATTCATTCATATGCAAAACAAAGGTTTATTCTGAAATGATATAGTTTTTCTGACATAGATTTCATTCTGACTTCATTATGATTAAGTAATAGTATAATACATGTATCTACATCTAGAACTCATTGTAGTGATACTACAAAGATAATAAGTTACGTGCACTCAGACATAATTTAGTACAGAAAGTGCTAAATGGTCACTAATTGTGTCTCCATTAACAATCTTTAAGGAAGTTTTTATATATTTCGTGACTGTATATAATTATACGTATAATTATTCTTATTGTCAAAGAGTGAGGTATTTGTGAAAGATAAAGACAAAGTACTAGGGACCTCATACTAGTTTTACATATATAGCTGAGAATTAAAATGTTCTTCAACATGTTCAATATAACATGTACTTTATTTATAAAATTCATTTTTTTTAAAAGGGGGGGGGAGGGGTTGTTAGATTGTTTAAAGGTGACTTAAAATACTTTATTTGTACTCATCATAAAAATAAAATTAAGGACAAAATTTTAAGCTTAAAACCACCCCACCCCAAGTTTTGACTAATTAAAATGAATCATCCAAGCATATATAAATCCAAATTTGTCTATAATCTAAAACCGTCTCATTTTTAATGACCTTTATTTGCTGTAAATGCTGATTGCATGCTATCAACATGCGATCAGGTCGCAGTAGCTTAGTGGTAGAGCGTTCGCTTCATGATCGGGAGGCCCGAGTTCGATTCTCATTCGCGGTGCTGCATCGTATCTAAGACGTAAAAATATGTAGTGACTGTTCCTTCGCCAAGCGCTCAGCTCTAGAAGTGAAAGCCACAGGTCTTTCGAATATGACCTTAAAAACGTAGGTCCTGTGTCACGGTAGGCATTAGCACGATAAAGAACCCTCACTGCTCAATGGCCCTGAGTGCCGAGTATAGGTCTAAATTTGAAGCCCTTCACCGGCATACTGTGACGTCTCCATATGAGTGAAAAATTTTTGAGAGGCCAGGGACTTAAACAATATACAATCAAAACCAATGGGCTAATAATTTTACAATGAAATCTACCATGTCTATTCCGAAATCCATATTATCAGACTGACTTTACACAGACGGTGAAAAACAATATATACTGTAGATTCCTTATTTTTCGTGAGTACTTTTTATTGCGAACTGTGTCTTTGACGTCCAATTGCAAGAATTATAAGTCGCAAATGGACGGTTGATCAACAGAATTTACATAGATTTCAGCACCATAAAAATAAAAGTGAGTAATATTTTTTCGCGAGTGACGCTTCTCGCAAAATTATGTGGAAATTAATTCCTCGCGTATAATTAGGAATCTACAGTATTTCGTGAAATCAGCAGCAAAAAGAAAGGAACTGGCTATTAAAATCATAGCCTGTCCAGCGGGCTACCGTCTCATTTTCATTTTTAGGGATGGGTATCGCCAAAAATTTCGTATCGCGATATATCACGATTTTTTCCCCAAAATATCACGATAATATCATGATATTTTATCAAGCAATTTTTACAATGATTTTTAATGAATTTTCATTATTTTTCTTAAAAATATGCTAGAAAAACAAAATTTCAATTTTGAAATTTTTTATGTACATAGAATTAATCATATTTGGATAGTAAGATGCCGCTCTTTTCACCTTTAACAACATTTTTTAGACTCTCTATAATTGTAATTTGAAAGATTGAACAAATAAATGAATAATTTCTGGACTTCATAATGAGTACCTAAATACCGAATGTCCGATATTTAGTTCTCCGCATCACGATACGTATCACGGAACAAAAAATCGCGTTATACCGGTATAGCGATAAAATCGCACATCCCTACTCATTTTAGATCATTGGGCGGCCAGGCTATAAATTCCATATATAGTTGATATAATCCTGAATTTGTAAATTAGAATTGGATAGAGTTAGCGAGATCACAGTGATATGTTTTCTTCTTACATTATATAATGTTCAAGTATGACCTAGCTACCAAATATGATCAAGGAGATATATTCATAATACAGGGGAATTATATAATACTTAATGAAGCCTGCCAAAGCAGTATTATACATGTTTTATTATGCTAGCTTAATCTCAGTTATACATGAAATAAATTTTTTAGATATTTTAAAAATTTTATAAAAAAGATTTAAATTTTGTGTCTTTTATAGCCTTTATTCACAATTTGTTTTGAACATATTTTATTGACAACTGAACATGTCAAAGGGATTGGACACAAGTTCCTAAAACTTACAGAGACTAGTCCTCTACTAGCTCACATACATAAATTCACAATTTCTCAGAATATATGATATCAATAATATATCCGAAGACACTACAAAGTTTAATAGCATGATCTGATGAAAAGGGCTTAAGAGAAGGGAACATTAATTCATAGACTTAAACAAATGTCAAGAAGAAATAAATATCTTTTCCAAGATATTTAAATATCAATCTTTGTTTCATTCCAATTTTAGCATGTTCAGTGACTTTAAACAACATAAATTTAAATTCAACAAATACATGTATACATACATTGTAGTAAGTTGTTAGCAATATAACTCACATGATGAAAAAATGTTAACAATCATGAAGCCATTGTAAATAATAAATATTAATAGTAGTGAATGTATATTAATGTTAATTAAGACTGTATGATTTGCATATTGTATGCACATAATTTGATAAATATATTCATTAACATGATTAAATCACGATTATAAATGTAAAAGTGTTTTTTTTTTTAATCACATCTCTCTCTCTCTCTCTCTCTCCTTTGACTACCAGGTCAATCGTTAAGAATGCCCTTGCTTTATTTAGATTGTTTTTAATCACATGTACATACTCTTGAATCTGATATACTTAAATATTCTAAGTAGAATTCACAAATAATCACAGAAAAACAAACTAAAATTATTCCGATACTTACAATTTTCTCTGTTTAGGAACTGTTACTTCATGACTCCAAACTTTGAAAAGTTGAGAAAACTTGACGCAGTATTTAACAACTTCCTTTTCGATCAAATATACTTCCTGGTTCAAAATAAAAATGTTTACACAAATTATTTGCGAGAAAATCTCTTCTTAATAATCCTGTAGACGTATAAAGACTCCAACACTAAATAAGAATAGTCGGTTCTAAAATCAATGATATTTACATTTGATAAACAATAGCAGTCAGATCCGAGCTGGCAGGGAATGATGTACAAAGGAGTCGGGTTCGAAGTTATAATTTGAAGCGTTTCTCTGACGTTGATTGATGTCAGTGTCTGTTTTCAGCATGGGAACATGTTTAAGAGGTCCAAATCTGATTTTTAAGGCAAAGCAGTTACAAAGGTAAATTTTGCATATCATGATATATTTACTAAACACTTCCCAACTTTGTTTAACGAGGCCATACCAACAAAACAATCGGTACGCACCCTTCATTTCGAATTTCCTCAGAATCTGTTTCAACCACAGGGAAATAAAGGTATTATAAAAAATTAGATAAAAAGTAATCACTGCAGTGACGAAACGAAAAGGTAACTTTTGCAATTAAATGCCAACCAGCCATATTAAAGGGGATGTCTTTCTTGAAAAATAATATGCCCGAATTTCCTCTAACTTCTTTGGTGCTTTTTAAAATTAATTTGGTTGTTTGTCATCTCAGGCTACAGTTAATTCCATGTTTATCCTGCTCTCAACTACAAAGTTCCACTCCTAGAGGTAAGTGCTGTGGCAGAATTTATTTTGAAATAGCTGGCATTGTTCAATCATGTCAATTGCAGTTATATCTGACTTAGCTGCAGAATTGTAGCTCTCTGAAAAATACAGGTAATCGGGGGAAGCCAGTCTGTATACTACCCATATCTTACCTGTAGATAAAGGGGGCGAAACCACTCGGCGCGATACCACTCGGCGCGAACACGTAATCGGCGCGAAACCACCCTACACCGTATTGACAGACCTAAGAGGTACAGTGCCACAAATTGAAAAACCTGTATATTTATTGTGCACAAAAAAGTAGAACAATTATAAGGAATTTTTTGTTGTGGAAACAGTGAAAGAATATGTTAGGATCACATGGTTAGAAATATTTTGAGATGACAGTTTTAAAAAGGGTACAAGTCAAAACGGCACCTGGTTAAAACGGCACTTAGGAATTATGCAAAACGACACTTGAGAGTAGTCAAAACGGCACTTCAGAAAAGTCAAAATGGCACTTTTTAATTTTGATAATTTGATATTGTTTATACAAAAAATGGATCTTTATATTACATTTATAGTAATAAATGTGTATATTATTATTGATAAAAATGTTTTAAAAATATTTTAGGGGAAAAAAATAGACTAATTCATTTAAGATAAGCTTTATTTAAAGTCAGTATGGTAGTTAAATAATAACACAAGCTCTAATGAGCTTTTGACTGACATGTTTAACATATACATAACAGAAAAACAATGAGAACATGCAGCACTATATAAACATAGAATTACTTGCAACAATATAGCACACAAGTCTTAATTTAAAGGACATCATCAGTTAAAGATACATATAAAAACACACATGTACAGACACGTTAACAATACAGCACAGATGCATAGAGAAAGCAACAAGTATACATACATAAGTCACAACATTACAAACATGCGAACAGCACATCGACAGAAACATAAAAAGAACATAACAGAAAAAAAAGAAAGAAAATCTGACACACATGCACAGAGACACAAACAAAAAGGACACAACTTACCTAGTGGAGCAGGCTGTACACTCACAGTCCTTGCCGCTCCAAGAGGCAATCATAGATTTAAGGTCAGACGAGACGTTCCTCAAAATCTGTTATGTATATCTTCGTAATGCATGAAAAATATTCAAAATTTTCATAACATTCTGATTTCTAAAGCAGTTTCTAGACGTTTTTAAAAAATCCAAACAATTAAACATTTGAAATTGGAAAATTATTCTTCTTCCCCAAAGGATTATTTAAGAAAAACTACCCCTGGTATCTTGCAGAAATGCCTGGTAAGGTACCTCAATTTTTTGTGAGTAAACATGTTTAAGTAGCAACACTTCAATGACAAACTCTTAGAAAAATTTATCTATTATTAAGGAACGTCTCGTCTGTCCTTAAACTGTAAAAAATTGGTTTGACATTTAAAATGTTCAGGTAGGGAGTTCCATAAAACTGGTGCTGCATATCTAAAAGACATTTTGCCATATGATGTAGTTCTCACTTTTGGTATTTCTAAAATGTTTGAATATCTAAAATTGTATGTCACTTTCTTAAAACTCACTAAGTCTGACAGACATATAGGAGAAAGGTCATGTAAAATCTTAAAACATTCCAGAGCCATGCTACGCATCCTTCTAATCTCTAATGATGGTAATTTTGCCTTAAGTAATAATGACTCGTAGCTACTCTCCAAATCTTCGTAAATAAAACGTAAAGCTCTTTCTTGAATTTTCTCAGTTTTCCTTGTACTTTTCTTAGAGCAAAAATGCCATACAAGAGGACAGAAATTAAAATTTGACAAAATAAAACTATAAAATATTGTAATTTTGTCTGCCCGAGTTAATACTGAGCCAATGTGTTTTAACACATTTAATTGTTGAGCAACTTTTTTACAGATATTACTAATATGGACATCAAATTTGAGCATAAAATCAATATCAATTCCCAATAATTTGACAGTCTCATTACACAAAATCTCTGCACCATCAATTTTAAATACAGGGTTCTTATCAAAAGTTTTCTTACCCAAGGCAACTGCCTGAAATTTAGATGGATTGGCTTGCATACAGTTTTCTTTAAACCATTTCAATAATACAGAAATTTCATCTTGTAAAGTATTTATCAGAGTGTCAAAATCCTTATGCCAGTATGCCAAAGTATTATCATCTGCATAATTATATAAAAACCCATTCTTAATGAAATAAAAAATGTCATTAATAAAGACATTGAAGAGTAGTGGTCCAAGGATGGAACCTTGTGGTACTCCCTTTTTAATACCAACCCAACTACTGACAACTCCCTGAAGTTTCACTTGCTGAAAACGCTCAGACAAGTAGCTTCCTAGAATGGAGACAGAATTTGGAGATAAACCATAAGCAGAGAGTTTACTTAATAGTATGTCATGAGGCAAGCAATCAAAAGCCTTAGAGAGGTCCATTAAAATAGCAGCAGCATGTAAGTTCTGATCTAAAGCCATTTTCCAGTCTTCAAGGAGTCGCAGCAGTGTAGTTTGGCATCCATGACCTTTTCTAAATGCACAAAGTGCGTTGTTAAAAATACCATCAAAATAGTCAGAAAGTTGTACACATAAAACCTTTTCAAAAACCTTTGACACGGTTGGTAAAATACTAACAGGTCTGTAATTACTTTTTAACAGAGGGTCTTCTTTTTTGTATAAAGGAATGACCTGAGCTTGTTTCAGTCTATCAGGAAAAGTATCCTTTTGTATGGATTGGTTAACAAGAATAGAAATATGTTTACTCAGAACAGGTGCTCCAAATTTCAGAAGTTTAGCTGATATAGTATCTACACCAGTGGATTTCTTAACATTTAGTTTGTTTATTAGCTTGGTCACTTCTTCTTCATTAGTTTTCTTAAAATCAAATGTTTCAGTAAAAGCAAAATTTTCCCTGATGGCATTTAGACTACAATGATCTTTTTCATTAAAAACTAACATCTTTCCCTATTTCACTAGCCACATTAGCATAAAATTCATTAAAAGTGTCGCAAGTTTCTATTGGGTCATTTAAAATCTTGTCATTTTCACATAAAAGAATTGTATTTTCTGCGGACTTTGATTTTTTCGATAAGAATGGTTTAATTGT